ATTTTCAAAAAAATATGAATTTTTTTTAAAAATCTAAAAAATTTTTAAAATGTAAAATATGAAAAATTCAAAAAAATTTCAAAAAGTTAAATATTAAAAATTTAGAAAATTAAAAAATATGAAATATTAAAAATTTCTAAATTTTTTTAAAAATATAAAAGTTTAAAAGATCCCAAAAAAATAAAAAACAAATCTGTAAAATTTAAAAAAAAAAAAACCAAAAGCATATAATTAAAAAATTAAAATATAGAAAATACAATATTTTGAAAAATAAAAATTAAAAACAATTAATGTAAAAACGAAAAACTTATGTTATAGCCTTGCGCAATTTTTTTCAATTTTTTCAATTTTCTTATATTTTTAAATTTTTAAAGTTTTTTTTAAATTTTTAGATTTTTTCCGTTTTGTTTTTTTTAATTACTTCTTTTTTATTTTTTGGGAAGTTGTTCATATATTTTTGAAAATTTTAGGATTTCATTAAACTTTTCAAAAATTTTTGAATTTTTAAAATTTTTTAGAATTTGTTTTGAATTATTTTTGAATTTTTTAAAATTTTAAAACTTTCATCATTTTTTCATTTTTTTGTATTTAAAATCATTTAGATTTTTTAAATTTGTGTGTAATTTTTTTTCTATTTTTCGTATTTTCAGAAAATTTTAGAATTTGATTATAATTGTTCATATATTTACTTTTTTTGAATTTTTTTATTTTTTAAAGTTATCAGATTTTTTTTGTATTTTTCATATTTTTTTGAATTTTTGAAACTTTCTTTTAATACTGACGTAGGATTTGATTATCTTGTTATGACTAGATATTTTTGACACATCTCATAATTATATTGGATATTCATGCAACGTTAGCAATTTTGACTAATTACATTAATCTAAAGTACCAAAATGTATAACAGAATGAAAGTTCAATATCTAATTAAAAATTTTTATTTTTTAGATATTAAATTGAAAATATATATATATATATATAATACATGGAGCAAATGAATATTCAATCCAATAATTAATAATGGTAATAATAATAGTGAAAGAAAACTCACAACCTTACTTAATATTCGAGTAAGTTTAACATAAAAAATTTAAGTCATCTACGTCCCTAAATGAGTAAAGAACTTGACAGGTTAAAAATTTTAAGGAAAAGGGAAATGCCTAAGAAGCCTAAAACCGCTAAGTTTTTCCACAAACCAAACAAGTTAACTTATTCAAATATTTGAGCAACTTGAATATCATAAACCTAAGTTATCAATGTGCCTAAATGAGGAATAATTGGACATGTTTATGGTTGCCTTCACCACCTAAATATTTTTTTTTTATATCAAGCTATCTCCTTCTTTTTTTTTTCTTTTATTCCTACTTTTCCTTCTTTTTCTTTTTTTTTTTCCAATTCCTTTGAAAATCAAAAGCTAAAATAATTTTAAAAAAGCCTTTAAACTTTAATTTACACTCAAATAAACCCTTAATCTTTAATTTACACCCAAATGAACCTTAACCTTTTAATTTGTACCTATTATGCCTTAACATAAATAATTCTTCCATTTGAAATAGGAGTTTATTTGGATGTAAATCAAAGTATAAGGTTTTTTTTTAACACAATAAAAGTATATGAGTTTATTTAAGAAAAGTGGAATAATTTAAAAACTATTCTAATATTTTAGCCAAAATCAAACATACTTTACACAAATAACTTTCTCAAGATCCAAATAAGAATTGAAAACAAGCAAAAAGAAAAATGGTAAATTACATATAAATACCATGTGGTTTATAGCACTATGAATTTTGTCTAATGAGATATAAAATTTGACACAACTATCTTGAGGTGTATTTCATTAACATTCAATTGACATTGTTAGGTCTTAATCATCTGAACCTTAAGTTTGAAAAAATAAGACCTTTTGATAAGATTTTGATCATCGTATAAGGATAATATTATGAAGATGAAGTTTGAAACCTTTGGATGAAGAAAATGATTTCAACAAAAGTTGGTAAATCTTGGTTAAAAAACTTTTTTAGTTTTAAAGTTTCATAGCCTCCGTTTATGGAGTCTTTTTACCACAAGATGAGAATCTCATATGTGAATCCTTAAGACGTTAAATTTTAAATTTGAATATTTCAAATGAGAATCTTTGAATCTTAAATGCAAATCTCTAAGATTTTTGAATGTGAATATTTGAATCCTTGATAAAAATCTTGAAGATTTATACAAATCTTAGGAATCTTTTGGTGAGAATCCTGAATCTTCGATTTGAATAGTTGAATGAACCCTTAATCTCCTTCAGATAAGAATTTTTTTTACATTTTTAAAGTTGTGAAACCTCTATTTAGAGGAGCATTTAAATGTCAAGATTTATAAGACCTCCAAGAATAGTATCTAAGTTTTCAACCAAAATTTGTAAGTCTTATATGCTAAATTTATTTTCGTATTAAGATTTGTAAGACCTCCGGGCATAATCCCAAGTCCTCTGGGCAAGATTCATAAGTCTTCTAAGTAAAATGTTTAAATTTTTATATTTTTTTAAGTTAAGAAACCTCTAACGAGAGGAGCTTTTTATATTTCGAAGTTATTAAACCTCTATTGATAAGTCATTTTTGTAATTTTATTTTTTGATTTTTCTAGGCCTGAACAAAATGGATGTCTTTTATCTTTGCACAATTCTTATTTCACAGAAAATGCACAAAGTGGGGTAGCTGTAGACACCTTATTTAGTCCAAATTATTTTTTAATTTAATTTTAGGATTTTAGTATTTTGTTTAGTTTAGGATTATTTATTTGTTAATTAATTGATTTATGGTTTTTTTTTTTAAAAAAAGGGAAAAGTTTGATTCGGTTTAAAGTCTAGTGTTTTAATTGAAAAATGGAATGTATTGATTTGAGAGGTGAACTTAGATTAAAACTCTAAAATTGACTTTGATTAGAAGATTAAAACCAATAAAGCATTCTCTTATTGTGATTTGGATTAAAGGCCTATAAAAAGACCCCATTAGAATTAATTAGATACAACAAAGAATCAATGAGAAAAAATCAAAAGAGAAAGAGTCAAATAACCAAAAAAAAAAATTAAGAGTTTTTTTTTTTATAGTCTTTTTTGGTGTTTTGGGTTAGAATTTTCTTTTGAGAGTTTTATGTTAGGAAAAAAGTTGAGATGAAACACAAAAAAAAGGCATTCAACAAAAAGTTTTTGTATTAAAATTTTGTAGAGTTTTAGATATATATGTTTTAGGTTTCTGGTTGCTTTTTATTTAAACCAAAAAGAGAGACAATCACCACAGACAAGAGGTGCTAATGAAGCCATAGACTGTTTTGCAAAGAAACAAGAAAAAAGACAAAGTAATTTCTATTGTTCTTCTTTTTTTGTAATTCCTACCAAATGATTGGAGAATTTAAATCTTGAATTACGAATTCTGCCAAATGATTGGAGAATTTCATAATAAATTTTCAAAAAATAAATTTTCAATCCTATCAAATGATTGAAAAATTCAAATTTCTATTAAAATTTACCAAACTATTGGAGGATTTAATAACTTTTAAAAAACTTTTTTTTAGGTTTTCAAATAAAAATCTCACCAAATGATCGAGGGATATATATTGATATAAAATTTTATCAAACGATTGAAGAATTTTATTATTTGCTTTCAAAAAATAATTTCTTACAAAAATTACTAATAAATCCGACAATACAACCTCTTCAAAGTAGAACACGAGTCTCCATTAATATTTCTGAGGTGAGAAAATTATCTTAAAGCACTATCAAATGATAGAAGTAATTTTAAGATTAATTTTCAATAATTAAATTTACTTGGCAAAAATTTAAAAATATTTTCAAGCTTGGATAATATGAAATCAAATGGATACCATCATTTGATGGGCATTGTGAAGGCACTATAACCTTTTATATACGTAACCATACTTTTGGATCTAGTTTTGGTTTCATAAACATAAAATCTATATTTTAAATATACTTAAGTTAAATTTGAAATTTCTCTTTAAAAATGGATAAATTCATTTAAGTGACTAATCATATCTTAACAAAATTAATTGATGACGACTCTTAAAGTTAATTTTAGCTATAAGTTTACAGATCTATATGTTATGACAAAATTATACACTTTTTAATTTTTATATCAAAATTAAATCCATAACACTTATATTTTACCATTTTGATCAAAAGGTCAAAAAAATATATAACTCTTGTACTGATGTAAATGAATATCTCTTCATATATATATATATATATATATATATATATATATATACACAATAATGTCCATGCTAGTTTAATATTTATAAATTTGTAAGTGAATAAGTATAAACAAATTTCATTTTAAGAAATTTTAGTATGTTAAAAAGGAGCATCAGTCCAATTGATTGAATGACAATATGCAGGGCCAACTGAGTTTGTCTAATTAAAAAACAAATGGACGGTCTGGTCTATGTATAAATTTATATACAACTTCTCGCAAAAACATATATTTTCATTTTCTAATGCATCTAATAACCTTAAAAACGAAGCCCAACAGCGTTCAAAAGTGAGAAAAAGAAGAAGAAAACAGAGGTCTCTGCTAATTGGAACTCTTTACTAGATATTTTTTCCCCTCAATATTCTAAAAATCAAATTAGATTATATAATCTAAACTTGTCTCACCTTTTTGGTCACGTCATCAGTATCTTAACTGCAGGTCATCAGCATCCATACAAGATTTCCAGGCACACAGCCACTTGTCTAATTAGTCAGTCATCATCCATAAAGTATAAAAGAACAGTATTAAACCAGGCATACAACTACACTGAACACTGTCTACATCCTATTTCTGGCCCTAGTTCTTTTTTTCCCTTTAATACATAAGAGGTCTGACACACTCACCAGTTAAACCTCCGGCTACCTTCATTCTCACCGATACAGAAGTCATGATCCAATAAAACTATGACTCTTTTATCTTAATAAGAAATGATACGCTGAAAAGGTCAAAGAAGAATATTATAATTAGCTTTATTCTATTAACATGAAATTTAAACCAAAATAAGTGTTAAGGATATAGTAAGAACGTAAGATTAATCTTTCTGAATTGAGTTTTCTACCAGAAAAATGAAGAGAAGACGAAAACCATTTACATAGATGAAAACCGATTTTTAAGTGCAGCAAGCACTTCATTTACAGTGAGCTACACACCCCCGTATAAGGAGTATGTGCCTTTTGCTACTTCATGTGGGCTACAACAGCCATTCAATTATTGCTACAATATATTGATTATTGTAGTTTTTCGTCTTAGCAGTGAACTTCCTTGACATAGAACTTAACTAGAGCTCCATTTGTTTGAGCTTGTGGAGTAGTCCTCGTTAACCTTTCTGCAACTCAGTCTGATCTCTCCTTCCGTACCTGTTAATGGACTGATGTTTCCCATTCTTATCATGGAAACCACAAAGCTGGCGAAGAAAGTTATTTGATCGCTGCTAAACCTGTCAACAATTTCAATGGTGTCAGCCCCACTAGTCGAAAATAGCTCTTGATCACTTTAAAGCAGTCCTTCTTGATCTTGGAGGTTAGTGTAGTAGTTCTTGTCGAATGTATTAGGTGTTGTAGGATCCAAATTCACCAAAACACTACCATGTCCGCCTTGAGGGCATACTTTTCGTAGCGTCTCTAAGTATGTTGCGTTCAATGTATGGTCTGGATTTCCCGTGCCATTGAAATTATATAGTCGGTCTATGAAAGTTTTACATTGAGCCCGTCCAAAAGTGTGAGCACCTGAAAATGTTTACGTAAAACCTTATCAATATCCTTAACAATCAAATGGGCTCTCTGGCCTCATTTCAAGGGTTGATTTTGATGTCCATTCTTGTTTCCTAGAAGAAATAGTTACCTGAAAGTGCAACCAGATCACTTGTAGTGTTCAGCCCCACGGCTGCAAACTTGGATTTGAGGACATCAAGAGTTCCAGTGGGAGCTGGAATAGCTATATCTGCGAGTGTTCGATTTGCTGTTTTGCTATCCCTTCTTCCAAGTAGAACTAGCCATGAAGGACCTCCTGCCTGCAGTAATCATATTGAAGGTGGAAGAATTTATACCCTTGATTGATATCTCCATAGACTCCATTGTTCATGAAAAATAAATTGTTATAGGTATAGCAAAACTAAAAATAGTGAAGGAAATTTCTAAGATACTTAAAGTACCTGATTGACAGACTCTTGAGCTGCAATAGCCAGAATATCAGCGCAGGAAACAATGCCTGGACACTCATATTCAACTGCAATCTTCATGGCATCGACAACCTCAAATCCCCTTGCTGAGTTATTATTCGGAGTAGCTTCTTTCTCGCTTTCTATTGTTGCGCTGTTGTCCAGTAAAATCGATGCATCACAACCCTGAAAAAGTAGACCAACCAATTGTTTCTCCCCAAGTTAACTGTGTTAGGACGTCATTTTATTGTTTCCCAAAAGCCAAAAGTTAAAGACAACTTAATAAGGAAAAAACTGAAAAAAAACCAGCTATCTTGTTCTACAAATAAATCAGATACTTATCTCTGTTAGTTCTTACTTTTAGAAAAGCAAGAAATCAATAGTCGGCAGTTAGCACTTAATTTTGATTGGCATTGTTACTTTTAAGCCTGTAGATTCTTGGTAAGGCAACAGCTGTAACTTCGAAAATGATTATTGAAGGGATAGTTAAGCAAACTATAGCATGGAAAGGAGGTGTTCAGTTCAAGCAAGTTAATTTCTCAACATTTAATCAACTTTTATTTTCCAAATCAATGCTTGGATTTCTGTTTTTTTTTTTAATCAAACAATTGGCACTAGAAAAAGAAACAGAGAAATTCATTTCTTTGCTATAGCTTTTATTCATCAATAATTAATAGAATTTGATGTTAATTTAATTAATTTATGTAATTATTCTTAAAAGATAGCACCAAAAAATTTAAGATTCAAAATTCTAATACTTAATAATCATTATTCTTATCTCTATATTGCGGTTTTTTTATTTAAAAAAAAAAAAAAGCAAGCAGAGTAACAGAAAGAAAATAAACGTAATGTTACAATATTTATCAACTATAGGACTGTACAACTAAAGCTGGGCTAAATCTAATAAAAACTAGCTAGGCTAGGGAAGAAAAAGTGAAATTCGCTAAAAAAAAATAATAAAGATTATGGTTGTTACGTTAACAAAGCAGTCATGGAAGTGAAGCCTAAGAAGGCTGGCACCAATCCGAGGATCAGACAGCAAAGCATCTTCGATGATTCCCCGAATGATGCTAAATACCTCAGGGCATGTTTCATCATAAAATGATGGACTCAATTCGAAGGCCAAGGATCCTGGTGGAAGCAAAAGGGCAAAGAAAAGGGTTGCAACTATACATTGGAAAGAAGACATTGTCTCACTCATTCATTCCCCTCAAGAGCTCTCAATATTTGTTATTTGATTACGAGGGGCTATGTGGGACTATTTAAAGGACCTTTATTATAGGCTGAAGAAGTTGGATATATAGCTCATTCATGCCATCGGGGATTTTCATAACATTGATTACAAATGCTTAAATTTTCTGATTAAACTGATTATCTCTATAGGAAATATCCAAGTTCGATTTTCATAGCAATATCTTTTCGTTTCAAAGATGGGCCCGCACTTTCTTTTGTTTTGGCAGTTGCTATTTTAGTACATCGTTAAACCAACGATCACTCTACACCAAATATGCAATTTCATTACCCTGTTTTTGCAGATATGGAACAATATTGGATGAGCCAATTAGGCTTCATTTGTAAGAAAAGTCAAAGGATCATCTGTTGTTTAGCCCAAAATTCATATCTATAGTCTCTAGCTTTCAAGTTCAGCCTGAACCTTCTAGCTTTACAGTTGAGATTTCACATTTCACTTTATTTATTTTTATGTGTCTGATTGGCAACTCTATTGAAATTTGATACCAAGAGAAGATGTAGAAGTTGCCAGAAAATTGAGAAACAGTGAAAGAAATAGCAATGACCAATTAGTTAAGAATCTCTGACAGCTTGAATCAAATGCAAAACAGACAGAATAACATAAAAACAGAAATTTCAATTAAGGCTGATGCTCCTAATAAGGTGATTAATTGTATCAGTTTTTGCCATAGTGCTTTAATGGCTTTGCAAAGTTGCCAGAGACCAAAACCCACTAGACTTCATTTACTTTCAAATAAGGTTACATTTGCATTTTGGTAATTGAGCTGGTGAGGTGGAAATATCGTACTCCTTTTAAGCCCTTACCTCTGTTGGAAGCATGGAGAGATGATTAAAAGTTATATCAAGTCCAACCAACTTAAAGATGGAATGTGCTCTGAACCAGAAAAACAGAGCCATGACAAGCAAATGGTCCAAGAATGGACCATCAATCATTATCATGGGATCAAAAATGGTAAACCACTTTATTCACACAACTTTGTAGGATCATAAAGTGGAGGAAAGAAAGGCTTGTGTCAATGGCACCCAGTAACCAGGTCTTAGGTCGCAAATAGCAGTGGGTTTCATTTTTCTCCTACTCACGCTAGCTTTATGTGATAAAATGGATAGCGATGGAAAAAGAAGAAATCAGATTAAAAAAGAGATCAGAAAAGAAATAGAAAGAGAGAATTTAGAGATAATTTTTACTCATGATTTTGAAATGATTTTTTATATATTTATAACTTATTCTTTAAATTGAACCGAATTCAAGTTTTATTCGAATCGAACCCGAGTAGTTTACGAGTACTAATGTATCATTTACACTCCTACTCCTCTTGGAGTGTTTGGAGTGACATTCTTCTCCATTCAACCTCGTGACATCCTTATCACGAAAGCTGGTCACCTTGCTTACTTTTTTCTAGACATTTAACGTGGGTCAAATAATTTAAGACTGACTTAAGTCAAAAGGAGGTGATTCAAAATCTAAGATCACACAGATTCTGAATCTTAGGTCGAAGCCTGTGACACTTTCATCACCTAAGTATTTTTTCCTTAGTCTAATTTCATTATTTCTACAACTAGATGATAACGTCACACTTTATAATAGAAAAAAGGAAACCAATGGCAAATTATAGTGGTTTGGTCTCCGTCTCTCGCTCGCTGTGTGATTTCGATGCATATTTTTTGGATTCGTTGTGTTAAAAGAATTTATCCTAAAATTATTCTTAAAAGTTCATGTTCTAATTATATGTTATCCTAAAATTATTCTTAAAAGTTCATGTTCTAATTATATATATAGCCACACTCTATGCGAAATTTGCTTTAAAATGTTCATCATATACTAAATTTGAACCCTGGCGTGGTGGCAACCATGGTGGTTTGTGAGGAATGTAATTAGGCCTGGATTTGAATCCAAGCAAGTCGTTTAAATATCTCCTCATATATTCCCATGAACTTCTGTTAGATCACAACATCAAGACTCATTAATAATTTGGATTTTTCTGTGTGGCTGATTCTGTTATGAAGCTGAGATTCTTAATTATTATTTATTATCAACGAATAATGAATTAAATATTTTTAATTATTATTCTATGCTTGATTCAAATGGTACTAATTATCAATAAAGAAAGAGGAAATTCATCACTATAACAAAGAAAAAAAAAACAAAATTTAAAATTTAATGCAATTTTTAGCATAATTATATGGAAAAACATATCATTGCCCTTGTTATAATTGGTAACTTGAAACAGAAACTCACAGAAAAAAAAAATAGAAAGGCAAGGCAAAATAGGGACAATTGCAGAAATACTACTGAACAATACATAATCTTGTTGATCTTTCCGCAATCAAGTCTAATCTCTCCATAACTTCCAGTCAACGGCTTATGTTTCGCGTCTTTATCATGGATTTAGCAAAGCTATCAAAGAATTGACTGACTGTTTGCAAACCTGTTAACAACGGCAACAGTGTCAGCCCCACTAATGGAAAAGAATTCTTGGTCAGATTGGAGGAGTCCATGATGGTTTTAAAGGTTCAAAATGAAATTGTTAAAGGTGAGACAAGTTGATTCGTCAAGATCGATCAACCTCGTGGGATCTCTACCTTATTAGGACATGATTGTTGTTAAAGTGTTTCCGCGTATGTTGCATTGAGGGTTGGGTCTGTTTTCCCTGATACATTATTGAACTTGTAGGGGCGGTCCATAAAAGAAGCGCATGGAGCACGTCCAAATGTGTGTACACCTGAGAAGCAACCAGAATTTCTGTAAAAAAAGGGGGGGGGGGTGACTTATAGAGCAAACATGCAACTAATAGCCCACAGTCGCGTAGTCTGTTGCAAATTTTGGATGCCTCAAGTATTAAAAAAAAATGCAACTAATAGCAATGTTTTTGGCCCATCATTATTTGAGAGATGCTGTCGCAGTCTAGAAGAATTCTGGTTGTTACAAATTGTAATTCTGTTTCACACAACAAAGTTTTCGCAATTACTAATTGCTGAGTGCAGATGTGCATTACATTTTGTAATTTGCTGGATTTTTCTTAGTAATTACCTGACAAAGCGAGTAAATAACCGGAATCAAGTTTTTGGCTGTGATATTGCCAAGGCTCTCGGTGCACAGTCCTACTATCCCTTCTTCCAAGTGGGGCCTCCAGCCTGCGAGTAAACATATTCTTATTCCCATTGGAAGAAGTAATAAAAGCTAAAAGAAGGTCAGAATCAGACTATAAGTTAACTGGAATACAAATGATTTGTATTTTTAATAATTAATGTACCAAAGAAACAGAAATTTGAGCAGCACAGGAGACAACGCGAGGGCAAGATTGTTCTAATGCTGTTTTGATATCATCAATGACAGAAACTTGAAAGGTTGGGGATTGCAGTTTTTCACTATCTGTATCATTCAGCAGAAGTGAGGCATCGCAACCCTGCACGTAAATTAGCATGTATAGAACCTTAAAGCCAAATTTGACGCATGGTATGAACTATATAAACAACACAATCATGAAAGTGAAGGCGAACAAGCTTAGGAAAAATCCAAATGTCATTTTGCTGAGGATTCAGCAGTACACTACGAACATTACTTGACACATTTGGGCAGCTTTTAGCATAAAATTAAGGTGCCACTAAGTTGAGCATTAGATCCCGAGCATTATTGCAGCAGCAAGGAGAAAAAAGGGTTGTGATTTGTAAGGAAGGCATATTAATTGTTAATTTTTTTTTTTTTCCAAATTTCTTATATGGATATGAGAAGGAAAATGAGATACCGAAGAGAAACCAGAATATCCCTTATATAGAGATAGCCCATAGCTGCACACTTGAGCATATCTGCTCAAGGATTGACTTGCAATGTGAATATGACTATTATTATTCTTTGATCACTTCGTCAATAATGTAAGTGCATGATTATGATCTGATCCTTTATTCTTGACTTATAAATCTAAAATGTAGTGGCCACGCATCTTTTTAAACATTTTTTACACTTCTTTTAGAATTAAGAGCTAAATGGGGATATGTAGATACATGTAAAACAAATCCATTTCAAGTATTCCAATATTCTTTATAGAATTTCTAATTGTGTTTATAATTAGCCAACTGCACATGGGTTTAGCTATGCTGGTTTAAGAATTCACCATAAGTTACTGATCAATTTCTTGTATGCAAATTAAGTTTTGGACAATGTGGCTATGCATCAAATATGCAAAAATAACAATATATTTTATGCAACATTTTAGGCAAACAGGTATTGGGATGATCAGTAGCACTGCTTACAAAGTGTTCCTTGCTTGTATTGATTGTTGAGATGTATTGAGCAGAAATAAGCAAATAATATGTTAACAGAAAAGAGAACAGATTGGTATTGGTAGCAAAAAGCAACAGAAATATAATCACACAAGTGGATCAAAAAGTTTTGCAAGAAAACAAAAAAAAATCGTAAGTTTATGATAATTAACTTATTTCAATGAATGAACTTTTTCTGTCGTTAAAAGATAAATATGCAAATTAACATTTGTTGTTCTGTTTTAATAGATTTGATTGTTTCAATACATGGTATTAAATTTATCAAAAGTTTTGAACTTAGTTACATAGATGATATATATGAAAAGTTACTGTTTACATATATTTACGCCTTTAATATCTTGTTATTATTATATTTTAACAGTTTCGATAGTTTCAATACTTGATATTAAGCTTGTCTGATTGATTGAACTTGGTTTCTATGGTTGATATGGGAGAAAAAGTTGTCAGTTATGTCTGTTTGAGAATATTTTTGCATATAAAAGGCAAATATACAAATAAATTTTGGATGCCTTTCAACATATCGAATGGCTTCAATCCTTCATATTAAACCGGGAGAAAATAATTGAATTTGGTTTCCATGATCGATATGTGTGAAAGCCCAAAATGTTTTTATTCTTTGCGTATATTTAAGACTATTGTGTTGTTACAAGGCTAAAATATAAATAAATGAGATTAAAATTATTCGAAATTTTAATACTTGATTGTCAGGATTTATATGCATAAATAAGTTGTAGTTGATATGTATCATATCAAATAACATATGTTTTTGTATAGGAGAATAAGATGGGCGGTATAATTAGATGTAT